TACACCCTCATATGCACGACTGATCCACCGGTAAGATTTCTACGATCGTACAAGTGGCGATTATCATGCTTTTTCGTCCTGCAATCTCATTTTTCACTGGAAGTCGGTCATTAGGGGCGGAGTCTGGAGGCGGAGTCACTGGAAAAAAGGAGGAGCCACTGAACCTATATTGCGCTACAGCGCCCCTCCCATAGAATTTTTTGCCGCGAAACCGGTACAAGGTTGTTCGTCGCGGACCACTCTAACCTCCTGACGCCATATTTTCAACTTCGATACCTGATCGCGGACCGTGCCTTTAAGGAATTAGCAACAGCTCTTCACAGCTGGTACTATGAATATGAAGTTATTGTTACTAGCTATACATGCACTCTTCAGGGAACCCCCTGTACTCATCTTGCTTTCAGATTATGCGACGATCACTTGTACGAAAGAACTTTCACTGACGTGCAAAGTTTGCTTGGGAAAAATAGACTATTGTTCGCTCTGACACGAGAGCCCATCCAGCGATTCCTAAGCGGATATGTCGACAAATGCATAAAGTATGTGCTACTATAAAGCATCTTGAAAGATTTGCATCTTGAAATTAAACCAAATCTTGCCTTGGGAGTGCGTGAGGAACGAAGTCGAGACTTCAGAAGGAAATTGGTCTCAAGCCTCACGGAAACAACTGTGTTGAGGTTTTGAAATCTGACTCATCAGTGATCACGTGGTGTAGGAAATGCTAAGTGATGTAGTATGACCACATTGCCATGTAAAACATCGCCACAAGCAATTCAGCAGGGACATCGTCATGTAACCACATGGTGTCCTAGCAGATATTATCAGCGAGAACACTTCTCGTGAACACTTCTCGTAAATGCTGCCTATTATTAACCTAACTGATGTTGGTTTCAATCCCATTAACACACCACAATTTGATATATAACGCTCACACCGTTATCCTCAGTCCGACTTGCCGATACTATCTATATGCACATGCGTTTCACAGTTTTTCGGAGGTCTTGAACCTAACGGAAGAGTACTCCTTACCTCCCTTTGAGAGTGGAGTTGGAAAAGCAGACAACTCTTGATCAAACTGCCGCAAAAAAAGTTCTTGCAGGGAAAGGCCGCCACATTGGATGGAGGACTGCAAATGCTTCTGCTGCGCGCGGAACATGACCTGTTTTTTATACCAATTGAAGCAACATTTGCTTGAATACTATCGTGTACAGAAAGTTGAAAGCAAGACGGATTTCTACTACATACGCCATTTTGCACCATTAACATGGTTAGTGCTGCTTTTTATACTCACTATTTCGACAGCGTATCATTCGTGCTTTCAATTCACCTCAGAACTATCGCAAGGACCGATTGACTCTAATGTTATTACCTAGTCCATTCTCTAGTTCAGTCTGTGGTCTGTTCTGTATATCAAGTTCCATTTTATATCAAACGCACCTAGTACACCCAGTTCCGCAGCAGTTCCTGAAAAAGCGTGCGATGAGGCTAATAAGATGACCTCTTCTCGCTTACACCTTTATATGTATGTGAGGATTTTGTCTCTGGATTCGGACTTTCAAAGACACCCCCCGTTTAAGGGTTGCTCAGTTATGAACCGGTAGTCCATGAGTAACTACCTAGGAGAGAAAGAAGCGAAGAAAAGTTTGGGAACACTGCGAATCCTGCGAACCCCTTAGTAGTGGACCGAAGCCTTGAACAAGTTTGTGGGACGTGGGCAAGCCCAGTCAGCGGAATTCGACGCAACCGAATCCCGGCAAGAGCCCAGGGAATCACGCTACGGCGCCCCAGGCAACGGCATGTACACACACACTTCCGCCTGTAAGTCGTTTTCTTGCATAGTGGATGTAATCTTGGGTGCAATGGCTGCAATAACCATGCATCTCTAGCTTCTTTATTTCGCCATTCCAAA